ACCTTACAAAGGACGGTTTGAGAAATGGTTGGATTCAGTGGCCTCTGCTAGGAGAGTGGAGACCTCGTTCTGCCTCTTCTAACGTGTCCTATATCACCTTGGAATTCTGAGATGGGAACCTTGTTTTCTTTCCCTTTTCTGCAGTCTCCGCTGTTAGGAGCGTGATTCTGGGCAGGGTGTATGAGTGCTACTGTCACAAGTATTTTTGCTAAAGAACGCTGAGTGCAAGGTACCAGAAATCAGGAGTCCAGTGAAAATAAGGAAAGGTTCAAGAACTAAGTTCTGTGTAGAGAAATGGGAAGTACCAGGAGTCAAAGAGTTCTGGAGGGATTCCCTAATGGTAAAATGGGAGAAAAATAAATACTGGAGGTGAAAATGAGCGCTGTAAGGTAGGGGAAGAGATGCTAGAGAGAGAGAGAGAAAACACATGAAGAGAAGGTGCAATTCCTTCTTTTCCTGCGACTGGGGAACCACTGTGCTAGAAAACTTGGAGTGAATGAAAAAGCACCACGAAGGAGGTGTATCTGTGTGTCCTGGGTGAGACGGGGTTGATGTGCTCGTGGACAAGAGGTATGAATCTTCCCATCAGGCCTCGTTTTTTCTCTCCCGGTAACACAGGCAGCTTCAATCCCTGACTACAGAGGCCCTAATGGCATATGGACATTGCTGCAGAAGGGCAGGAGCATCAGGTAAGGAGGCAAATTCTGAGCTGTGCAGCAGAAGGCTGGTACTGAAAGAGAGATGAACGGCAATTCCAGCTTTTTTTTTTCTTGCTTCTCATCAGGGCTACAGATCTGAGCGAGGCAGAGCCCACACTCACCCATATGAGCATTGCCTGCCTACACAAGCACAACCTGGTAAGATATTGTTTCCACACCTCGCTTGTGTTCCTTTGTCTAAGTGTGATAAATAAAACCCAACAGGGGAAAAAAGCTTTTTGTGAGGTTGCCTAATGACTGGTTTTACTCAGGTGGCTTCACATCCATGTAGGAAAAAGCATCTGTGCCCACGTACAGCTGAGCCCTCGTTAGGCCAGCTCCAGGCTGCAGCTCTGGCAGATTCTCCCCGGTGCTTTTTCAATGCCTTGTATTTGCCTGCTGGCGAGGCTGGTCTGGGGA